GATATCAACCAGAATTTACTCAATCATTTCCCTGTTTCTGTGTATTAAGGTTGTTGTCAGTCTTTCTCCTTTATAATGTTTCTATAGATATTTTGATAGAAAACTTTTCCAAATTTGGGATCAAGGAAATGACTCTTGAATGGTCCCCATCTATCTCCCCTTGAGCATCCTGCCATAACCCTCTTCATCTCCTTACCCCACTGATGTAATTTATGGCCTTGGCTTTTTATTTGTTTGAAGCTGATCCCTTAAGAGGTGACCTCCTAGTGTCTTCAATTATTATTTTAAATGATGCCTTAGGCCATTGCCTGGCACAGCAGTGCCCTCACCTTCCCACCTCCTGCCTTCCAAGCATGGAGCTCAGCTGCCAAACTGGCTGTGCCCCCTCCTGTCCCCAGCACTGCCTCGAGTCCCAGCAGAGAGGCATATTAACCCCTTTTGTTAGCAGAGGTAATTTGCCTGGGCTCAGCATTAATAAGGAATGCCATAAGCGGTTGGGGTCAGGATGAACAGATCTGTCAAGCCCCAGGGTTAATTTAATAGCAATCTGTTGGCTGTCTGCCTTGTATATTAGCCGTGAATCCATTGCTCTGTTTTGCTTTTGCTATTTAGTTCTTTGGGACAACAGGAAAATAATTTGGATAGAGAGCTCTAAAAGATGAGGAAAAGAAAATTGACTGTCAACATGCATCATTCCATTTCCAAGATAATACAGGGAGCCAAGCATTACTCCTTTCCTGTCTCCTTCCCTCCCTACATGAAGGGCACAACTACGCATGCTGGAGGTGTGTATCTCCCTTGAGAACTGTATAAGGAAAAAGACTGAGTTTACAGATAATGCATGTAAAATATGCTCTCTTGTCATCCCCACACACCATTGAATTTTTAGAACCTAGACTCCTCCTAAATGTTTTTAGAACTCAGAAAATCCTCCATCAGTTAACAATTCAAGAAACCCTTTATCTTGCTTCTGTCTCAACTTACAGTTCCTTAAAAAAAAAACTCCTAGGTCAGATGCTGGGTCCAAATTCTGGTTCTGAAAAATGTAGTGCGCCGAGTGGTGGGCGAATTGAGCGAGCACCAGTTCCGAGCAGAATCCCTCTCAGATAAGCCAGGGGAGTTTCAAGAGAGCCAGAATTACATTGCTGAGAAAGGCCGGCTCTGTGGGGGCCATTCTCAGTGAAGGAGGGTGGCGTGTGGTCAGGAACCAGGCTCTAGAGTCGAACAAACCTGGGTTCAGATCCCAGCTCCACCCGCTACCATCATATAACATTAAGTAACTTACCTCTGTCACTGTTTTCTCTGCTCAAAAACAGGTCTATTAATAATATTGCGTCATAAGGATGAGGTGAAAAGCAAATGAGACAGTGCGTGGCACTTGATGAACTTTGGCAACTGCTTTTTATTTTCGTATTATCTTCCCTGTCCTTATCACCACAATTACTACAAAGAGGATTGGAGTCATGGCTTTTCTCCTGAACCCCATAAGTTCAGACCCAAAGAAGCACTCTATTTAGTCACAAGGAAGTTGCCTGGGTGTGAGGGATGGTGGGCAGGCTTGGAGGTCCAGGATGGATGGAGGAGGAAGGAGAGAGGAAGGGTCCAGAGGCAGTAGCCCTAAGCACACTCAATTCTCATGGTGTTCTTGAAGGTGGAGGATGCTCCTGGTTTCATATATATGTTTAAGCACTTCATTTTCACACGTTCTAACTTGTGAGCTTTATTTTTAGGTGAGAAAAAAAGTAACCAGAGATGTAGCACCTCCCCCTCCCACACAGCCAAGATCCTTTCCAGTTAAGCTTGTTTTTAGAGCTGTACTGGTAGAGGTTGAGAAAGCTGACACCAGATTTTCTTGCCCTATTTTGGGAAAAGAGAAACATGCTCACTGGCACAGTGGAGTATGGAGGCTCTTTCTGGAGGGAAATGAAGTCTGACAACAGCTGAACACTAACCTCTGCTCACCCCACCCTGTATTGTGGCTACAAAGCCCAGGGCATGCATGGGTCAGGGGACTGGAGAGAACCCCAGAGCTGCATCTTGGGGCCTTCTTCTGGGGGGAAACAGGCTCCTGTTCCCCAGCACGTGATGCTAACTGTGATAATATTTATAACTCTGAGAGCAGTTGAGTTGAAAGGTAGTATTTTATGAGTCCAGGGGACCTACATGCTCTGGAGACACAAGTTATATCTGCATCTGGGTTGCTGAGGGAAATTGTAGCAAGATGTAATGTTAGTTCAGTCTCAAGCTAATTTTAGAAAGAACCCAACAGGATTTATAAGAGATAATTGAAGGAGAAAGAGGCACAACTAGATACACAGCCATTATTGCCTCAAACTAGGAGCATGGGTGATGTTTGCTAGTAGATGACTACTTTGTTAGTGCTAATGTGACTAAAAATATCAGTGCATTTACTCATTACTCTTTTAAACTCTAAGGAGATTAGGCCACCAACCTCACAAAAAAACATAGACTTATCCATCCCAGTCTAATGGCATTGTCTGTCTCAAGTTATTGCTTGTTGATTCAATGCAGTGTTTTCCAAAATGTGATTCATAAGTTCCTGGCACACACATAAATGTGTTCATTTTAATTATTAAATGCATTTATTTCAGGTGTGTTATTGAAAATGTAACTAGCTTATTAAACCGATGATTTCATGAATATTGGGTTACTGATTACGAGGCTGAGTAAAGAAAAAAGTAAGTCGATTTAAGTTCACCCATAGAAACAAATGTTAAGTTAAAAAATGCTACCTGGTGATAAACAGGAGGGGCAAAATCACAAATATGGCTCAAAAGTGAGAATCATTTTGGTTCACAGCATCCGCATCAAGAGACCTCTTCCTATGCTGGTTCTCAGACAGCAAGCCCTCAGGCACCTCCCTACCTGCACCCAGGTCCCCCACGCTCTCAGTAGGAATGTGAATGGATCAGCACAAACTCACGCCCACTAAAGGTGTTTGTTTCTGTTAGGTCACCATCATATTGATAGATGAAAGGCCAAATGTTTGATTTCAATACACAAGGAGATGTTCCTTAAAAATAGAAGTATGATAATTCTTCATCAGAAAGGAAAATACTCAGGACAAAAAAAGAAAAACGATGATAAAACTAGGGGTGTATTACATGGGAGGCCAAAACTACCCTGCTGTGCAATTGGATGGCTTCTTTTTAATACATGAACTCCCACACAAGCTGTAAAGCAAATCACAGTTTGTGGAGATTTGAGATCCTGTATATCTTCAGTAAGAGAAAATTTGCATAATTACTAAAAAGTGCAAATCTTGCACCTGGGATAAAATCCTACCACTGCCAGTCTTTAGCCATATGACTTGGGGCACGTTACTTACATACTCCAAGACTCTGTTTCCACCCTTTAAAAAACAAGGATAAGTAAAGTGCTGATTAGAGAGCTGTTATAAGGATTAAATGAAAGAAAGCACATGACGTGCTTTGCACAGCGATTGACCTGTAGTCAGTGCTCAGTAAGTGGTAGCAACTGTTATTATTATAATTTCATTAACATATTATTTTTTTATTTTATTGCAGTAAAATTATTTTACAGTTTTGTGTTAGTCTCTGCTGTCCAATGAAGTAAATCAGCTCTAAGTATACATATATCCCCTCCCTCTTGAGTCTCCTTCCCACCCGCCCCCATCCCACCCATCCAGGTCATCACAGAGCACCAAGCCGAGTTCCCTGTGTTATATAGCAGCTTCCCACGAGCTCTCTGTTTTACACATGGTGGTGTATATATGTCAGTGTTTCTCTCCCGATTTGTCCCACCCTCCCCCGCCCTCCCTGCGTCCACAGGTCCATTCTGTACGTTTGTGTCTCTATTCCTGCCCTGCTAATAGGCTCATCAGTACTATTTTTCTAGATTCCACATATATACATTAATATATGATATTTCTTTTTCTCTTTGTGACTTAACTCTGTATGACAGCTCTAAGTTCATCCACATCTCTACAAAAGATCTAATTTCTTTCCCTTTTATGACTGAATAATATTCCACTGTATCCTACTACTGCTGCTAAGTCCCTTCAGTCATGTCTGACTCTGTGCGACCCCCTAGATGGCAGCCCACCAGGCTCCCCCATCCCTGGGATTCTCCAGGCAAGAACACTGGAGTGGGTTGCCATTTCCTTCTCCAATGCATGAAAGTGAAGTCGCTCAGTCGTATCCGACTCTTCTCGACCTCATGGACTATAGCCTACCAGGCTCCTCTGTCCATGGGATTTTCCAGGCAAGAGTACTGGAGTGGGGTGCCATTGCCTTCTCCGAATATTCCACTGTATATATGTACCAAATCTTCTTTATCCATTCATCTGTCATTTAGGACATTTAGGTTGTTTCCATGTCCTGGCTATTGTAAATAGTGCTGCAGTGAATGTTGGGGTATACATGTCCTTTTAAAGTATGATTTTCTCAGGGTAGTTCTGATTTGAGTTTTTTAAGGAACCTCCATAGTGGCTGTCTCAATTTACATTCCCACCCAACAGTACAGGCAGGTTCCCTCTCTCCACACCCTCTCTAAAGATCTAAGGGGTTTTGTGGGAGAAGATTCACAGTCTGTCCTAGATATAATTTATCAGCCCAGGGGTTTGGTTAAAATTTCAAATCTATTGAATTGTTTAGTTGTGATGGGACTGGTTTCTTAACCACTGTTGTAAAATGAGAAATGAAAGCCCTTGCACCCTGGCACAGTTTAGCCTGACTGCATGAGCAGGTAACTTTAATGTGGATGGAGCATCTGCGTGTGACGGGGGATGGAACCCCGATTAGGGCCTGGGGGGACCTGAGGTCTAGTTCTCCCTTTGGCCACTGAACGTCCCTGGGCCTCATCTGCGTGAGTCCGTGATAGCCGCCGACTCACAGAGTCCTGATGAGGCGCCTCCGTGCGTGCTCAGCGCTGACCTGCTCCTCTAGATAAAGCCATGATGCTTAGTCCCCGCTGAAGCACCCCTCCCCGCGGCCCCCTCCTTGACCCGTCTGCGCCAGATATCGTGGACATCAAGCCGGCCAACATGGAGGAGCTCACGGAGGTGATCACGGCGGCCGAGTTCCACCCCCACCACTGCAACACCTTCGTGTACAGCAGCAGCAAGGGCACCATCCGGCTGTGTGACATGCGGGCGTCGGCGCTGTGTGACCGGCACACCAAGTGTGAGTAGCCAGCCGCCCCAGGCCCGAGGGAGGGGGTGCGCCCCCGGCCCCGACACGCAGAAGGAGAAGGGGGCGGGCCTGGGGGGCTGCTGTCCTTCCCCACCTCAGACACGCCGGGAGTAAGGAAGCTGCACACGTGTTGTCCTGACTCGGGGGTCGGCTCCCAGTCTGGTGTTTGAGTAAAGAGAAAACCTTTACTGGCGTCGAATCCCACCAGCGCTGGCTTTGGGCCGTGGAATACAGAGGTGAATAAGGCCTGAGTCCTGTCATTGTCACATTGTGATATGATCTGAATTATGTTTTAAGGTCCCTCTTGTGGCCCTGGGGGAAATGAACCTGAGGACAGGAAGTGGGGTTGGGAGGACCAGTTAGGAGAGGGTTGTGATATCAGGCAGGAGACTTGGATAGCCCGGACAAGGGCGGGGTGTGAAAGTGGAGAGGAGTGGGCGGGTTCTGGACAGATCCTGGCAGTAGAATCAACTGGACTTTCTGGACAGTTGGGGAGCCTGTGAATATACAGGAATTGAGAATCGCACCTTGGGACGGTGACTAAGTTCATACTGTAGTGTGTATTTGGAAGTTGTTGAGAGTAGATCTTAGAAGTTCTCATCGTAAAGAAATTGCAATTCTGCATGGTGATGGATGGTAACTGAACTTAAATGTTTGCACTGTATACATATATCAAGTCATTATGTTGTATGAAACTAATATACTATTATATGTCAATTATATCTCAATTTTTTTTTTTAAAGTAGCAGCTGAGGGTCAGGGATTATTAGCTTCATGGAGAGGGTGAGGCTTTGAGAAGCAGCACCCTAGAAGGCGCAGTGGTTCTAGTGGGCACTCAGGAGGGCTTCAGACAGGGGGGTGGGGTCGAGTCCCCCAGGCTCACAGGCCTAGGGGTCACACTGGCGTTTTCATGGTGTTGATGGTTCAAAGCGGCTCCAAACTCATGGGGGCTGAGTGCTTGGCGGCCAAAGGCTAAGACCGATGTAAGTGAGTGAAGCAAGAGCCAGGTGTAGTGGACAGGATGGACCTGGGGCTAGTGGAGAGGTTTTCTAGAAAACAAAACGCTTCCTGGAGTAAAGGTGCCTGGAGGGCAGCCATCATCTGTACCCAGGGTCAGGCTAAAGAATGTGCAGCTTCCAAGATGCTCAGGAGCCACAGGATGAGTGTCTGGCCAGCGCCGTCTGCCGGGGCCTCTCTGCCACTGAAGCTTGCCATGAAGAACTGGGAGGGAAGCCCTCTCTCCCCCAGAGCCCCAGTTTTTCATTTTAATTCCTAGTGACGTGAGCAAGGTGATGATCATCTGTATGAGGTGTGGCTTGGAGTCGGGTGACTATCTGGGTCATTTTGATCGTGTCCATGTACTCCTTTGCTGTGAGGAGTATTGCCCAGGGGAGCTGGTCTGACTAGTGTGGTGGGATGTAGATTGCATGGATCCTGGAGTCATACAGACCCAGGTCAGAGCCAGGCTAGTCTCTTATTAGCCACCTGACTTTGTCCAACTTTCCGTTACCTTTCCAAGCCTGTTTTCTCATATGAAAAATGGGTGAGATAATATCATCCACCTCATGGGTTTGTCGCAGGGCTTAGGTAAGATAATCATTAAGAATTGTTAATGAGATGTGTCCTACTGAGTGTATTTTACACTTCTGGAAGATTTTGATTCAGACGCTCCACATGTCCAGTACTCAATAGCAGCTCCTATATTGACAGTGCTGACTTAAGACTGGCCTAAGACATTTCCTTCATTGCAGAAGGCTCCCGTGACGACTGCTGATCTGTACTGTCGGCTCCTTGAGGCCATGGACTTGTCCTGTTTTGGTCACTGTTGATTTCCCAGCTCCTGAAATAGTGCCTGGCTCGTGATAGATGCTTTATCAATGTTTGTTAGTGTCTGTGCTGATATTGATCTTTGAGCCAACAAGGGGGGCTGAGATGGCTGGTATATAAAGAATGACTTGGAGAAGGAACAGGTGAAGTTCAGGAGGAATGCAAGAGCCTGGTCATAATGGCCATGATAATGGACTTAACTTTTCTTTCGAACTAAATGAACAGCCACTAAATTAACCCGGGGACTGATCTGACTACAGTTATTTTTTTGAGAAGCTGCTTAGACTGAAGAAGAAGGATGGATGTTGGGTTCTGTCTGGGAGAACAAAGGGACACAAGGAAAGAGGTTAGGAAGATCCTATAATGAACACAAGGATTTCTTAACAATACATTGTTAAATTAAGGGCACAGGATTCTTTCTTTGGTGGAGGTGGTTGTCCTATGCATTGTAGAGTGCTTTTCAGCATACCTGGTCTTTTCACACTAGATACAAGCAACAAAGGCCAGTTGTGACAACTCAAAATGACTCCAGACATTGTGAAATATCCTGGGGTGAAAATTGCTTCTAGCTGAGAACCGCAGATCTAGACTAAAATTCATTGGCAGGTCTTCAACATGATTTTCTTGTATCTGTGATCTGTCCATTACTTATAAGCATTCTGAGAGGCAAAATGGAAAGGTAAGACATCTCCTAACACTCAAGCAATGTCAAGTTTGGCTGATGAGGCAAGATGTACCCGGGACACCCAAATGAGTGGTGGAGACAATTAGGAGTATGGACATTCATAGGAGCGTGGGACATTGGAGGGAGACCTCAAAGTGGGGAGGCAGAGGCTGAGGAGTCATGTTGAAGCACAAGTAGGATTTGGTTAGGTGAGAAATAGAGAGAAGGGGGTTTTTGGCTTTGCACACAAGGGCACAGCCTTCAGGGCAAAAACCTGAAGTTAGGAAGTGATGTAACACCTTTAAAGAGTCTTAGCAAGAAGTGTTGGGCTTGGGTTAAAGAGGAATATGGAGAAAATGAGGTCAAATAGGTATGATGGTGTATATCAAATCAGTGGTTGAATATCAGAGTCAAAAGTTTATGCCTTCATTCATTCATTCATTCACTGAGTACCTGCTCTATACCCAGAGTCTGGCTCCTCTGATAGCTAGTCCGTCTTAGACTTCTGCGCCAGGTTCAGCACTCCCAGAGCCAGGCCATGAACCTTGCTGCTGTGAAGGAAGGGCAGTGGAAAGCAATTCAGCCTCTTTGATGTGCTCTGGGTGGCCTGGCCTCTCAGCAAAAGCAAAACGCCACACACCTGGCAGAGGCCCAACACCTGAGAGGATGTGCTGACCACAGTGGATTTTCTTTGAAGTATTATTTTTCCATCTTAAAATTTCACATGGGTTTTACATTTTATTCCCATAAAATGACTACTTTCCACTTAATTTACTATTTACGTTTGTACCCATACCCAAATTTCAAACAAAATTGACATTTCCAGAAGATGCAACATTTATCTATGGCTTCCTATACTACTTGGTGCACCACTGTATCCTCTTCCTCCTCCCCCCTGACCTCCAAGGATATGTACGTGTGCCCCAGTTTGAGAAGCACAGCTCCTAGTGCGTGAAGAGCAATTGGAGATCACTTGGTTGGAGAACAGAGTTATAGGATTTGTATTTTATGGAAGATTAACACAGTGGTGGTGGGAAGAAACAAGAGAATTAGAAGGTGGTGCCTTTGTCTCAATACAGTGGAAATTCATAACCTAGATAAGGATGGTAGCTATGGAAATTGAAGAGAAAGAAAAGGGAAAAATAAACATTTTCTTTTAAAATCACTGTGGGTATGTAAAGCAATATTAGAGATTGGCATTCATCACACATGGATATTACTTATTCAATATCCTGCCCCTCTAGAGGAAGACAAGAACTGAATCTATTGGGTTGACCGAATAATTCATTCAGACTTTTTCATAAGATGTTACAGAAAACCCCCAGTGAACTTTTTAGCTAACCCAATATTTTGCTCACATTGTATCACAAAAGACTGACATACAAACATGTGCTCAGTATATATTGATTCCATAAATAAATTTATGCCTGAGGGTTGACATAAATGGCATGTGGATTGTGGACTCATAAGAAGCCATAAGGAAAGAGAGTGAGGGGGTGAGGACCAGTCTGGGACATGGTCCCAGCTGTGTGGGAGGAGACACGAGTCATCTAACTGGGCTTGAAGGGCCACCGGCCCAAAGTGGATGGCAGAGACGGCACGAGATACCAGGTGTGTTCACAGCCCCTTGTGGCAGACACCAGCCTGGGCTCTGGAGTCAGACAGACCCACATCAGGGATGGAGAGCGAAGAGGAAGCTGACTAGAAGGCGCGATGAACTGTGAACTCAAGCTGGAAAAAAGATAAGGCCTTAGAAAGTTCCAGAATCAGAATGGCTTAGAGCAGAAGCATCAGAATCTGAACTCAGCTCTGACACTTAGCAGCTGCGTGACCCCCCGAATCAAGTTATTGAATCCCTCTGAATCCCAAGCTCCTTGTTAGACATAGAGATAATAAAGACTGTCTCATAGGGCTGGTTATTCATGAGGAGTAACTGTCATCATGTGTCGAAGAGCTGAGCCCTGAGTCAGGCACATGGAAGTCAGCAAATGTCAGCAGCTGTTACCACAGCTACTCCTCCTGTGCATGCATGCTAAGTTGCTTTAGTTGTGTCTGACTCTTTGTGACCCCGTGGACTGTAGCCCACCAGGCTCCTCTGTCCATGGGATTCTCCAGGCAAAAATATTGGAGTGGGTTGCCATGCCCTTCTCCAGGTACTCTTCCTGCGTCCCTCCGATTTGAGGCTGGCAGCTACAAGGAGGTCAAAACTCCAACCCTCCTTCCAGATATGTAAGCCCCATTATTCATTTATTTAACTAGTACTTATTGACCACAAACTATATGTGAGGTACTGTACCTGACTCTGGGACACAGTAATGAGCAAAGCCGGGTCTGCTTTCTTCCTTCTTGGAGCTCAAGGTCAGTATTGGTGAGGGTCTGCAGAGAAAAGGAGCCAATAGGAAATATATATCTTTTATACATATATATGTATAGTATATATATACACACACACATACATACATATGCATATGTGTGTGCATGTATTATATGTGTGTATATA